AGTGGACTCAATTTGCACTATCTCTGGTAGTCTGCAACCCCAGATAGTGCTATAACTGTATTATAACTGCAGCCTGCTTACTCACCATTGTTCCAGCCTGCCACTTGCACCCTGCACATACCCAAGCCCTACTCCTGACTGGCTGGATGGCTAAAGCATACAAAGGATGTAGAAATAACTGTCGACACCACTTTAACTGCCATAGATCCATCCTATGGATTTCTGGGATTTATAGTTTTGTGAGACATAGGCACTCTTTGACAAAGAAGGCTAAAGACCTTGTAAAACAACAAATTCCAGGATTTCATATGATGGAGCTACAGGACTTAAAGTGGTGTCCAAATTTTACAGTGCAGATGCAACCATAGTCTCCTCATTTCTCCATCAGCCAAAGTTTTTCTACATCTTTCAGTAAATCAACTTCAACCTCCTGTTGCCAAGTCACTCATTTCTGTAACAATTAATCTATAACAAGCAGTTTGCCACTTAGGTATTGTAGACTACAAACACAGACACATTCATATTGTTTATAATTAAGTGTATTAAGAAAAACAACAACTTCTAGGTGTATGCCCCTCAGGTTTCCATGATACGCACAAGTTTCAAGTGTCCACATGAGTTGTAGAGTTATGGCTCAGGGAGATATCCTTAGTTATTACAGAAGCTATTATTTTTTCCCCTTTTTTCAGAGTGAGGTGGCTGATAATATGCTGCTTTTCATACCATAGTTATGGGAAGGCTTTGTTGTTTGAGGAGGATTTTAGTAAATCGCGTAATAAGTGAATACCTGGCTGAACACCATGAATATATCACAGTTGGAGGTCACCTACACTACTCTTTACTGTGGATAAAGTCATTTTTTTTGTCAGAAATAAATCTCACTGTGTTTAATGGTGCTTGCCCTTTAATAATGAGATGGTGGTGTATACCAGGTGTCTGATGAGGTCTAAAATACAAAATGTACAATGGATATTATTGAGGTTATGTAGACATGATGCTACTTTATGTTAGTTTTATGCAGACATCCTAAGAAAGGGTGAGATCCTATGTCATCCTTGCAAGGCTTAAATCTACATTCATGTAGTCACATGGGGGTCATGCATTACCAACCTTCTGTTTAATACCAATGTAGTGTGACTGACAGTGTTATCAGCCGATGTACCCTGCTTATTGTTCCTTTGTGCAAAGGGAATCATTGTATGCCTGTTTCTACATTCTCGGTGAATAGAGAGGCACACAATAAAAAGTTATGTACCATCCAAGAACATGGCTGTAATCATGTTGGTTAGTCCTAGTTAAACCAGACCAATTGAATTACTTATTGGATTGTGAGTCAACAAGTAGGTGACTTATATGCCTCTACTCTATTTGAGACTATATAATTTAGGCCAATGTGAAATGGCTACAGTTATGAAACTCTTCTAACAAAATCATGGACAGAATATATATGTTGTACGACAACTTAAATAAATAAACAAACAAACAAACAAACAAATAAAATGTATAAGGGAACATACATGTCCATGACACCAATAGGATTTTGGCCATATGTATTTGACTGATTGTGTATGTGTATGTGTGACTCTGGAAGGAAGGGATTGTGGTTCCAAGAGCTGAAATTGCTCTGCTGTCATATCCAATGAAACATTTCCAAATAGACTCCAGTATGTATGGCTTCTAAAAGACACAGAGTGAGATCCTGCATCAGCTGGCAAAACATAATGTTCTGCCAGATGGGATCCTGTTCTCTCCCCACTCTCCATGTGCAGAAGGCACCTGTCTTCTGCTGCCTCCTACATATGGCCATCTCTTCCACCTTTTGGTCAATGAATTTGTCTTCAAGGCAAGTGAGGAATTTGCTAGACCTTAAAGTTTTGGCTGAGTTTGACTTCCAGCAAATATCAGGATAGTTGAAGTCACCCATCACTACATCTCTCTTTTCTTAGTGTGTGGCCATCTGTTCTAGAAAGGCATAATCCAGTTCCTCAGTCTGACTTCGGGGTCTGTAGTAGACTCCCACAATAACACCCTTGTTGGTTTCTTCCCCTTTAATTTCTGCAATGTGCTCTACATGGGGCTACCCTTGTGCTTGACTCGGAAATTTCAATTAGTTCAGAATATGGCAGCCAGGTTGGTTTCTGGTACTTCCAGAAGAAAGCATATAACACCTGTACTAAAAACTCTCCACTGGCTGTCCATTAGTTTCCGGGCACAGTACAAGGTGTTGGTTATGACCTTTAAAGCCCTCCATATGACCCTCCCCGTGTCACAAAGTGACCCACCACTTCGGTATTCTGGGAGGAATCTGCTACAACCTATGAAAACAAGGTTGTCAGTGACCTCCCAGGGGGCCTTCTCTGCCATTGCTCACAGATTATGGAACGGCCTGCTAGACGAGATCCTTGACAGCTTCAAAAAAGCTGTCAAGACGGATCTCTTCCAGCAGGCCTTTCCTGAATAACTATCCTGGCCCAAATATTTGGCTAACTTCTGTGCTGCTGCTGATTATTCTGATTATGCTATGTTGTTGGTATGTTTGGTATGTTTGTTTGGTATGGTATGTTTGTTTTATACCTTAATTTTATTCTATGGTTTAATTGTTCTAGTTTAATATCTTTTTAGGGGTGCGTGGGTTTGGGTGTTGATGTACCTATTGGTGTTTTTAATGTTGTAAGCTGCCCCGATTATGCTGGAGAGGGGTGGGATAGAAATAAATGTTGTTGTTATTATTATTATTATTATTATTATTATTATTATTATTATTATTATTATTAATTTTTATCCAGATGCTCTCCAACTGATTTCCAGGATTTAAGTCCTAGATCTCTTCACAGGTGTAAACACCTCTGACATATAATGCTATTCCTCCTCCTTTCCTGTTTGGTCTATTTCTCTTTAAATGGTTATACCCTTCTATTACTACATTCCAATGTTTGGAATGAACCAGAGGTCTCTCATTACAGGGCTGCCATAAATCAAAGTTGACTTGATAGCAATAAACAATAACTAAGACTGCCTTTGCCCAGCAGAAGATAGCACATTATCTATGCCCATTCTTGAGGAGCTCAGACTTGTCACAATAATGCTTAGTGATGTCCTGTTGCAACACACTGTTATATGGAACTACCTTTCATTGTTCCATAGTGCAATTGGAAGGACACTGTGTGGAAGGACACAGTGGGATCATTTAACACCAGCTTGTGACAGGTACACTGGT